CCCCCCGGCCTTGGACCCGCTGGTGCAGCCGCTTGCTCACTCTTTCGTGGGACTGCAGAAACAGGAAGGGGTGTTAGAAAAACCAGGCGGCTTCGGCCCCCAAACCGCAGCGTTACGCAAAGCTCGCCTGCTCGACACAGCCGAGGGGACCGACTTGCGGTGCAGGCACCGGCCCTTGCTAACGACGGAGGAAGAGCTCTGATGAAGGCCCCCGGCTCTCCCCTCCGAGGCAAAGGCGGTGGCAAAACGAACTCAGAAGTACCAACAGGTTTACGCTCTCTGTTTAATACAGCGGCTCTCAGGCTGGGGACACAGAACGTATCCGCCCGGCATGGAACCCCTTCTGCATTGCCCAAAAGATGCTGCCTCCTCCTCCTCACGCGGCCAGAAGCCAAGTTAGACCCCCCCCCAGGCAAGCCCTGCTGTCCCCAGCCCTCGGGGTCTGCCTCCAGCCCCTACGGAGGGGCACGGTCCCAGGAGAGAGCACGCTCAGCATGCAGTACACATGTGGGGGGACCCAACCGCTACGGAAAATTAAGAACCGGGTCAGGTCTGAGGAAAAACTGCACGCATTTTTGAGTATGAGCATCTGCTTAAGGAATGTAAAATCCAGGACAGATGGTTTAAAGCCATGGCTTGAAAGCCATGAGTACAGTCATAATTGAAAGCAGCAAACGTAATTAAACCTCATGATTAAAACTTATGTATTTTATTATTTGTTTTGTTCTTCTCCCAAAGACTGACTGCTTCTCCGTGTTCACTGTTAAATCCAAGAGATTTGTGGTTCAACGTAGCTTCTGGAGCTCCTTCGGTGTACTTAGGTAACCGAGGGGCTGCGCTGCACGCTATCTATTTAACAGTTCAGTAATTTGACTTATGTTCAGATTCTCTGGGTAGAAGAGAATTTATGAGATTCCTTTTCCTTGAGGTTTGTGCCAGCTGAATGGGATAGATGGAATTCAATCAAAATCCTCAGTATCGCCATTTCAAAGCGTCACCGCTGAAATAAAACACTCTCATCTGACGTGAATGCAAGTTTAACAAAATTACTTTACAACTAGTGAAATAAACCCATTATTTGTATTTCATCAGCAAGAAACAGATGGTAAGTAGTTGTTTTATAAGCCCAAATACGGGACCAAAACGGAGCTGTGAAGGATGATTTACTAGGCAGGCAGCGGTGCGCACCTCTCCCATTCCCTCATCTCCCAGTGAATTTTCTCAGTGCTCAGTAGTTTGCTCAGAAAGCCAAATAATTTAATAGCCTGAAAACAATCTCTGCAGCTACAGAAGAGACTACTGCTGACAGAGCCTCTCTCGGGTACCTCTGCTTCCCGTTGCTTAACTCAGTATCTTTTGCCTGAATCTGGTGGGTTTCCCTTTCTTTTACATTCTAAGCGATGGCACTCCGCTTGACATTGTGCTTCAGATAGATTATAATGAAATTATAGCAAAGTCTTTCAAACCTCAAGTCTAAAGAGCCAGACTAGAACTGGAGTTTGCTGTTGAAGCTCCCTGGTTTTCTCTATTGCATGGAAATATTCCCACGGGATGAGAAAAGTCACTGAGCGTCAAAGCGCTCAGGAGACCAAACCAGCTTTCTCCAAGCAAATCCTCTGGAATTTGGCTCACCTGGAGTCACAGGTGGTTTCCATCTTGAATACACCCCAATCCTCAGAGCTCAAGAACAGCTGGAGAGCCAACACTTGCTTCCCCTCCTGCATCTCTCCTCCCCACCTATCCCAGTCACCTCCTCCTCCTTCCCTTGCCCCAACAGTTACTTTTGGCACAGAGAAGCAAAAGCAAATTTGAGTAACTTAGACGGTGGGGTCAGGAAACAATGAGGGGATGGTACCCGGAGGGATCCAAGGGGACGGAAGGCATTTGGTGCTCTGTACTCGGATTCCTCTTTGGGGGAGCCCGGGAAGAGCAGGCACTCTCACATTTTCACCACAAGAACATGCAGAAGACAGGTCTTCCCTAAAACGGGGGGAACACCACCCATGGGAAGTATCTCCTGGGAGAAATTTGAGAGCTTACGGTCGACACCACTGTCCTACCATAATAAAACTCTCTGGAGAGAAGGGAGGAGAGGTGGGAGGACGATGAGAGCTAGGTGGAAGAAGCAAAGACTACACCTTAGGAACATTCAGAAGATCTTTAGTGTCTTGGGAGGACAAAACAGCATCCACGAAGAGTGCTGAACGTTACCCATCAGGATCCCCAAGGACATTTCATCTGACTCTCCCCACCTGACCTTTGGGAGCGGGGGGTCCTGGGAAACACCAGCGGCCCACCCCAGTCCTTCCGCTCGCTCCTACCTGCTGAGCTCGCAGCAGAGCGGTCCTCCTGTACATGTAATCCTCCGATTTGATCACGTACACCATCTTATAGGAGTTCAGTTTGAATTTACACTCCAGCTTGTCCAAGCTCTCCACGTTCTCCATGGACTTCTTACTGTTTCCCTCCTTCCCTTCCTTCTCCTGCTGCTCCCGACCACGCTGACACTTACGGATCCGCCTCAGATTCCTGCAAACCAGAGAACCCCGCTTGGAATTAGTGCCCACCCTCTGGAGGTGGTGAGCCGGTGGATCTGTGCTGGCCCCTCAAAAGCCTGGCAAGCAGCTTGGAGCACGACTGCCTGCTGCAGTCATTCAGGCTCAGCTCCCTGCATCAAGTCAGCCCACTGGGTTTATCTTCTGAAAATCACAGAAATATTTTACCTTCTGAAATCACGGAAATATTGTGCAATCAGCTCCCTGCTCATGAAAAGCCCTGACACGGCACCCACCGTTTTCAGGTAGAGGTGTTATGGTAAGCCAAGGCAGGACTGTCAAAAAAACCCGTTTGGCGGGTCACCCGGTCGTTCTCACCAGAACCTGGCAACTCACCCTCTCCCCCACCCGTGGACCATGCCATCTCTCGGTCACCAGACAGCAGGAGCTTGGAGCGGACCCACAGACTTTTAGGATGACTCTACACCACACCGCCAAGGTGACGGCTTCTGTCGTTGCATCAAGAGACCGAGCGCCCAGCACTGTGACAGCCTGGCCACTCACCTCGGCAAGAAGACCGGTTTCTGGGCCAGGTGCTCCCGGAGCTCGGGGGAGGTAGAATCGGAGTTGACGTACCGCTCCACGTAGTCCGACCAGCGCTGGAAGCGAGCACAGAGCACAGGTCAGCCACCGCTTCCCACCAAACAACATGGGATCGGTTAAGGAGGCTAAGCTGGAAGTCACACGGATGAACACAAGGTTGCTTTTGAAGGCTCCGTGCATCTTATCCCCCAAAAGGCAGGCACGACGTTTCTCTATACGGTTTTGAGGGTTTTCCAACACAAAATAAACCAAGAAGGATTTGCCTGCTTGCATCGCTGAAAGCTTTACGGCGTGCCCTTGCCGTTTCTTTAGCTTGTGCTAACGGGCCACGACAACAGTCAACTGGACACTCTCGTTCAGTGCACGCTTGACCATCACAGTTCTCTGGACAAGCTGCTCTTACCTCTGCTTCTACAGGGTCGTCAGAGTTCTCCTCTTCTGTGTCCAGCAGTTCAATGGTTAACTGAACTTGACCTCTGCTCTGAATGAACATCAGCTATAAAGAAAAGGCAGAAGGGGACTTCAGTAAGAGGCTTCAAATAGAAAAAACCTCCACTTCTCACTGGGGCAAAGGGAGAACGAGGTAAGTTGGCATAGTTCTAAGGGAAAAAAAAATGCTTCCCGCACGCCTGACAGCACAGGGAAAACACTAGCCAAACCGCACAATCTTTGCGGAACAGAAAAATTGTAGAGCTTTTTGAAAACAAACAACAACAACAAAAAAAAAAATCTTTCTTTTGGTTGTTAGTTTCTGGAGCGGTGCGGGTCCTTCTCGAGCCCCCAACAATCAGTTTGAAGGCAAAGGAAGAGCAATCGTACACCCGGGCTTTTATCCAAAGCACTTTACTCGCTCAGAAAGGGGCTGACGACCGCTTGCCCCCTCTCAGGCACCAGCTCGCTTTAGCGACGATGCAGCCTGCAATGATTTAACGCCCAGTCGGTATTAGCAGAGCTCCCCGCAGCTGACAAAGGCTGAGGCGCAGGAGAAATGGGAGAGTTTGAGCTCACAAATTGAAACCGGTGACGGCGAAGCAGTCAATACGACACAGCCCGAAGTTGTTGTGAAGCACAAGGGGTACTCATTGCTGCTCCAGGAAATGTATTTCTGCTTGAAACCTCGTTTCCAAGGAGCCCTTACAGAAGCATTAACCTACGTGCCAAAAGCTGGGGACTTGCCACCAAACCTTTCAAGTTTCAGAGCTGCAGAAAGGCCTCAGGGGTCTTGGGGCGCCTAAACAAGGCTCCTTTTTTAAAGGACTGGTGCCTCTCCCTTCTTAAAAGGCATCCCCCTCGCTGCTTGTTGCTTTGACGGCGCGGTTCACAGCCCGGCTTTACCTTGAAACAGTTCTCCTCCGACATGAGCTGCTCGGCTTTGCGCTGGTACGCGGCCTCCAGAAGAGTACGGGAAGACTGGGAAGCGAGAAGACCTCCCGTCGCCCCGTTGCTGTTCTCCGACAGGTAGAGGTCTGTGACCTGCACGCAGATCTCGTCGCTCACTATGTGCTGGAGCTGCAAAAAAGAAGCAGCGCGGGGAAGGTGTTTGTCAGGGAGTCTGCTACACGCCCATCAGCACAGAATAGAAAGATATAAAGATGTAGCGCGGGGTTTAAGAGGGAAAAAAAAAATAAAATGGATCGATAAAGCACGAGTTTAAAGCTACATTTTTTTAGGAGCTTCTTCCAGTTGCAGATGATCTCTGCAGCTATGTAAAAAGCCACAGTATGTTTAAAAAAAAATTAGCAGGTGGCAAAATACAGCTACTCAGAGCAAAACTACAGGCAGGGAACATCCTGATCAGCAGCAGGGGAGGAAAGGCTAGGGCACCGTGACATAGTATATCCCCCCCACGGCAAGGGGCTGCTGCTGTGTCTGAGGAGAGGGGTGGGAGATTTGGCATCAAATCCTTATTTTGTACAAGTTTAAAAATCAAAAGCCACACGACCGTCTCTTGAATTCAGTTAATCTCCGGGCTGAAGTACAGAGCTTCTGAAAAGCAGCTCTACCCTTCTGAAAGAGGAAAGGTCTTTCAAGCCATTCCACTCCCAGCCCCCTCTGTCTGTTTTTGTTCTTTACGCTACAAAAAGGCACATGAAGAATCTTTCCCTTGGTCACACGTTCTTCCAACCAGCCCAATAAAAGGACTAGAGTATAACAGCCAAAATGAGCTACTCAAACAGCCAAAGCTTTTTAGAAAAGGCATGCGCTGCTCCTACAGCACTGGTGAAAAGGGAAGAAATTATTTAAATGCCATCCCATTCTTTTTCAAGGTTAAAGCAAGATGAGCTCTGGAGATGCTTTTGAGGTTGAATACTTAGATCCTAAAACTTCTGGAAAACAAAGGGAGAACTCTATACGCACAGAGATGATATTCTCAACGATCTAAATACAGCAGAAATTACCTTTTATCACATCTCCCTACATCAGTCTTAGAGCTGGGTTAGAATTTACACCCAGAATTTACCTGCTTACCCCTGAAATTCCTCATTTAGGCATACAACGCTCCCCCTCCGGTGGGAGCCTGGGCTCTCACCGCAGCAAACCACCCAGCTACTTTCTCTACCCCCAGACCATCCACCCTCCAGCCTTCGCCGGCGGTGACCTGTCGGACGATGCTCTGGATCAGCTTGTCCATGGTAAAGGCGATGTAGGCGTGAATGGTGAACATTTCGCGCAAGGAGTCCTCGTACTGCGACGAGTCCATGTTCCCATCCAGGAGATTGCGCACCATGTCCAGGAAGGCCGGGTAATAATCCTCAACGTCGATGTCCACTGCAAGAAGAGAGAATGGGAGAGATGAACACACCACCCCCAGGAAGGGCTGCTTTGAGTTTTGGCCCTCAGACCACCCAGTCAAGCTGAAGAGTTCCTGGAATAGACTTAAGTTTGTCTTTTATAGACATTTAAATGAGTCCTTTGAAGGCCACCGGCACCTTCATTATCTCCTGCTTTCCAGCTCTAGCCTTCCTCCATGAGGCCTTTATTTCTGAAACGCTCTTAAAAAAGCTTCTAGTTAGGGAACTCGGCGGTACTTTAGATAAGCAAGTGTAAAATGAAAGCTCTTATGAAATAACTGCTGCATATTACCATTCCGCTATTCGAGGCCCAGGTACCCCACTCCTCCTCATCTCCTCCCTCAATTCGGTGCTGCCCAGTGATAGTAAGAGAGAGAGATCCTCCCGTTTTAAAAAGAGTCACCACTGTAACGTGCCTGAAGACACCAAGTAAGCCCAGTCAACACGCTACGAACAGAAGCGTCCTTCTTCCCCAGCCTCCCCCCAGAAGTCACTCACTAGGCTCCTTCAGTCGCAGCTGGATGGCAGGACTGTCGCTCTTGTCTCGCTTTATGCCCAGCACTTCCCTCTCCCACTCCCTTTCCCGCGTCTCCTCTTCGATCTGCCGCTCGGCCTGGGTGCAGATCCTCAGCAGCCGCAAGCACAGGATCTGATGCAGCCGCATGAATATGTACCAGTTGCTGTTCACGTAGAAGAGGTTGTAGACCTCATCCATGCCCCGCAGCTTCTGGGCCGTCGTGTTGTTGAACATCAGCTTGGTTTTGGGAGGACTGCCCCCAACACCGTTGTGCTTTTTTGCAGCCCCAGTAGCTTCGTCCACATCCATTTCCTCTTCTTCCTCCTCTTCCACATCCGAGAGTTCGCCTCGCTGAGCAAACAGCAGGTCTGGAATGAAGTGATACATGATCTGCTTGATTTTGTACTTGTCCTCTTTCTGGATTCCCGTCTGCCTCTTCACGTGGTGGATGATGAGAGAGGCAGCATCCTCCAGGATCTGCTTGTCTTCATAGGCTAGTGATAGGTGTGGGCCTGTGGGGACTCCAGCATTGTCTTCCGAAGCCTGCTCTTGCCTCTACAAATGAGAAACACAGCACAAAAATTAGTCCCAAACACCGCTCTGCACCCAAGAGCCTTCAGAAAGCTCTGCCAGCGGCGCAGGCTTGCTCCCTCATCGAACGGTGAGGAAGAGGAGCTGAAACTGCACTGGCAAACTACACAAGCTCGAGGGAAGGAAACTCTTGGTGACCATCTCACCTCGTCGTAGATGCTCTCAATCTCATTGAGGAGACTCTTTGACCTCAGGACCTTGGTATCATTCTGCTTGAAGTTGATGCCCTGGTGGTCCAAGGATTTCAGGTAATACTTCTCATTCTGCTCTCGCCAGACTTTATTAAATCCTCTCTGGGCTTCTCGCCACTCTTCTTCTTTCATCTTTAACCTTGGATCAAGAAAACAAGGGTGAGCTAAGAGACATAAAGGTCCCTCTCTCAGCATATAAGGAAAATCTACACCCGTGGTTCCTGGCCAGCGTCGAGAAGAGCTGAACTCCTTCAGAAAGGGGCACAGACGAAAGCTGTCCCACAGAAGGGAGCTGTACAGAAGGGGCACCCTGCACGCACTCTTCTGAATAAACCCCTCTGGACTTCTCCCGTGTCCGAGTAACAGGAACAAAGGGGCTTCCCCCCGTGGCACACCAGGACAGCTGGAGTTTGGCATCCCTCTGGCCCCACTGCCCGCGGCAAGGAGCGGGGCTGAAGGGACAGGAGAGCCACGAGAGCTGGCCCAGCTCGCGCAGAAATGCCCAGAAATGCGGGTAGCTCCCGCTGCGGAAAAGGAATAGCTTAAGTTTGGATGATTAACAAAAGTTATCGCCTTGCAGCAGCCTGAGCCTCCTGGGAACGGGCTCCTGAAGCTGGACGCGGTCTCTCAAGCAGCTCGAGAGCCGGCAGCAGGGTGGGGAAGCTGTGACCTTGCAGGTGTCCTGGGTAAGGCTGTGAGCCCCAGCCCCGAGCCCCGAGACAGAGGAGCGACAACCCCACGGAGGCGAGAAGCGCCTGGGGGAGAAGTACCTCCTCCTCGCACGTCTCCTCAAGCTCCCCAGGGAGCTGCGGTACCCACTCGCTTTTCTTGACCGAGGAAGGAGAGGCTGACGACAGAAACCGGACTGGGGACCCGAGGGTAACGCAGCCACCGCAACCTGAGCCCGCGGTCACGTACAGCCGCGGGATTTGGAAAGGGATCAAATTTAGTCCTGGATCAAGCCACACAATAGTGTTTCCTCAGCTTACACACAACGCTGACACCGGGGAAGAAATAAGGTTTAAGAGGGGACAACAAAAGCTCTACATCCCTCCAGCTGAGCTGGTCAGGTTTTTGTTTCAGAAGGGTAGTTCGCTCTTTCTAGGCGATTATTATGAATCAGAGCAACTGAGCAGAAGATAAAATGCGCTTCTTAAATTACAGCCTCGTGGAGCTCACACCCTTTAGGGGCAGAAATTAGCTGTTTTACATAAGTCTGGATCACGTAGGGCGCGTTATCCTTCGGTAAAGCCCCCGGGGCAGGGTGCTAGAGCAGTCAGTACCTTTTCAGTACAATGGGAACAGCCACGGATGGGTTCTTCCGAAGTCCATCGATGATGTCGGCTGCCTTGTCAGCATATATCCTCTGGAGAGCCTTGCGGTGGATCACCTCCGAAGTGCCACCCAGAGTGTTGTCCAGCCGGAATTTGGCCTGCTCCTCGGCAGACAGGCGCGAGAGTTTCTTTTGGATTGCCTCAAGGACGCGGATCGTCGCCAGGTTGGTCTCCAAGACAACATCCAGCTGAAGCAAACGGTGCATGAGCCATCGTTGAACAGATAAAACATGATACTTCACAGAGGCTAACATTTAAGTGACACGAAACAAGAAGCCGTGCATGTTTAACAAGATGTTCTCGAGCAGTGGTTTCCGTGTTCAGCTGCTCTAAAATAATCCAATTATATTTCACCCGCTACCTAGATAATACCGCATAAGAATTTAAAGGCGACCAGAACGATACTGTTAGGAAATTACATTTTCCACTTGGGAATAGAGCACAATTGACAGTTACTCTACAAAAGGACGTGCCGAATCTGAGCGTACTCAGGTAATTGCCAAGCTAACTTCCATTTCAAGTCAAGATGTCAATCATTTAACATCCCGAACGGCTCGCTTTTCAGATTATTACAGGGGAATGCATGTTCTCTTGCGCTACGTGGGCAGTGAGAACAGAAGAGATGCATCGGTTACGTGCTGGCCGTTGAACAATTTCATCTGGGGCGGTGTGGACGAATTGCTCTGTACAGAGAGTGAGGGGCAGGGGTGGCAGCTTGGAGCGAGAGGTGGTTATGCAGCCGCTGCTTCTTGCATTAAGAGAACACAAGCTTTCATGCAAAAAACAGGCGACAGACACAAAATAAAAACAGAGCCTAAGCAGTAATATTAAAGGCATAATTATAGCAAGATCATTAACCGTTCACAGAACCCCAAACTTTCCGAGGCATGAATCAAGGAAAAACAATTTACCTCGAAACGCTCATCCTCGCACCTGTAGATGTGCTCTTCGTATTGCGTCTTCTTGGAGCTCACGAATGTGGAGTCTTCGGACCAGGACGGGAAGGAGACCCAGGTGTCATTCAAAACCTTTGGGGGAGACAAGAGTCACGGTCAGTCTTCAAGGGGGGGTCACACTCTGAGCCTCGTCTTCTCCTGGAAGGATGTAACTCCCCAGTGGCAAAAATTGCGTGCCCCTTCCTAATCCAGCATTCGGGGGGCAACCCCAAACAGCCAGAACCGAAACGTCCAGGCGGTCTGAAAATTGCATTAGCTGGAGCTGTGAGAAAACACTTGCAAGGGAAGAGAAAAAATAAAAGGTGAGAGGAGTTTTCCCCGTTACTTCAGATTAGTCAACTGCAACCAGCTGGTGCATCATGTGTGTGATTCACCATCGACAACACTGGGTGGTCATCACGTCAGACATGACTGTCAGTGCGTGGTTTCTACCTCCAAACAAGGCTAATTGGGAATATAAATCCATACCCCAGCAACACCTTTCCTGACAAAGCAGCTGAGCACCTGCAGCTTTCACCCCCTCCGAAACAGGAACAGAACATTAAAAAAAAAACCCCAAATCCCAATAAAACTCAAAGATGTTAAAGGCAAAAAAAAAAAACGGATTTTGGCAGGCAGTCTTGTGAAAGTCAGGCTCAGCTTTCATAAACCTAAAGCCTGAACTGAGTCATTAGATTCTCACAGGAAGAAGAGTTCGTAACTGCATCACACAAGACGCTTTTGAAAGACACGTCAGGACTCCGATTAAAAAACTTAACCATTGCCTCTTGCCCAGGTCGTTCCTGCTATCTTGCCACCACTCCGGCTGAACGCTTATCACTGCCGCTACGTGCGTGGCTCGGTCACCCACACTCCTCCTCCTCCTCTCTCACGGAGCGCGAGGGCACAAAAAAGCGTGACGTTCCCAAACGGCAATCTCCTCGCTCTTTGTTGCGGGTGCCACCGCTGACTGCAGTCACCCAGGGGAGGGATTTCTGGGGCTCTCCCCACCTCTAACGAATGCTCCTGAGCGGCATGTTTATTAACTGGCCTTCAGCAAGAGTCCTGCCCGCTCGCCTCATTACCTCCCAACACCAGTGAAGGAACAGGACCAGCCAGTACGGTTCCCGCTTTGATCAAAAGGTCATTACAACGCATTAAGGACTCAGTGAGCACACCTGATCCTGCAGGACTTTGTTGGGAGACCAGCTTTGACTCTTGAACAAGAAGGCTGGCACCCTGTAGGGAGCCGATTTCCCAAAGCAACGCACCTTTTTCTGGAGACAAGAGGTCTTCTTAGCATTTCAGGTGGAAAGAAAAAAGCATGCGAGGGTTACGTGGGAGAATCTGTCTACAGAAAACGTGGTTTTTCTTTTAAAGTTGGACTAGAGACAACTCTGAAAGCAGACTAGGCGGGAATTCGCTGAAAAAGGGGGCCGTAATTTTGCATGACATACTACCTTGTAAAAGATCCCCGAGATCACGTTGAGACCGTACAGAAAACTAATCTGCCGTTTCCTACTTGGGAGTTTTTAAGCTTGTGATCTTACCGTTCTTTTCACACACGTTATACCGTGTCAAACGTCATACGGATCCAACACCCTTACGTTTTATTTAAGTAGCGAAACGTGACAACTCTCTGGTGAGGTTTTTTCCCAGCTGCTTCCCAACGCTTCACGCAACCCTTTCACAGGCGTCACCGGGGAAGAGCTGATGCCAACCATCAAAGCCGCGTGGGTATCGCAACTCCCGGCGTAACCCATTCCTAGACCGACGCCTCGCCCTGCGCAATAGCTTCTGGACGCAACCCAGCCGTTTGCAGGAGCACTCCCCTCGGGCTCCGACACGTCCTACGACAATCCCGCGCCGGGCTGCTACGCCAATCCAGGCAGCTGCCCGGCCCCAGCTCCGTCCCCAGTTTTGGAAAGAGCGAGAGTGGACGTGCCCCGACACCCCCGGGACCCTTTTCAGCACAGCGCAGGGAGAGAAAATAAATTCCCCCGTGGCGTTCTTCTGTTCCGCTCGCCCTTGCTCCATCCCTCCGAGAAGGCCGGGAATAGCCTTCCTCGGCACGCAATTCCCGACCGAGGCATCTTACCTCCTTACACAGCGGAGTCCGCCCCGTGCACTTGGGTTGCTGGTAGCTCTTGGGTAAGGCTCGGTAGCTGGAGCCCAGCCTTTTACAGGAGGCATAGTCTATCTCCATGGCAATCCCCTCGGTAGCCCGTTCCTTCGGGTACGTCTCCATGTGAACAGACTCTTTATACCCCAGGAAGTTTTTAAACCAAGTGAACAATTCTGGGAATTTCCTAAAAATAAAAGGAATGAAGTGAAAAACTAGCCAAGCGGAAATCAAACAGCGCGGAGCCGCGACGCTGAGGCTACAATCGATTGCTACAGACAGACCGTGCCCAAGAAGACCCTCTGAATTATCAGTCTGGTCAGGGGGGACCCTCTCTGCTCAATCCCACTTCCACACAGCCTGAACAAGTGGGAAGCGAGGAGCCGTTTGTGGATCAGGCTGTGGATCTCGGTGCGACCACGGTGCTTTGGGATTACTCAGGATACCGTATTGCCGGGGTACCCAGGCAAGCACCGACACATCCTCCAGCCCCCGCGAGACAAGCCACGAGCAAGGAGCAGCGGCCAAAGCTTTCCCTGCAGGGGCAGGGTCACACCCGGGTCTCCCAAACCGTCTGCCGATGCTCTTGACCTTAAACCAGACCTTTCACTCTCCAAAAGCAGCCAGAAGAAACCGAAAGGCGACTGAGTAACTACGTGGGCAAAGGGATTCAGCGGCTGCTTCAGCCAGTGCTGCCTCCCCAGACCACACAGACCAGCACGAACGATGAAGAAGCCTCCGCCCGCAAGGCCCACGTTCGCCTGCTCGCGGAGAAAAGCCTTCCGGAGAATTTGTTAGTCTAAAATACCGCATCTGTTCGACTCCTCTTATCTCACGCAAAGAGCTCCAGCAATATGAGGGACTGAACCGGTTACTGGCTCTAATTGAATCGCTGCTCATTTATTGCTTTTTCATTACATGACAGAAGATAACGCCCAACTCCAGACTACAAAACCTGCATTATACCTTTCCAAAACCAGATATTCCCCCCCATAGCTAGGAGCATGGACAGTAGATGGGAGAAATCCAGAATTTTTTGGTCAAATATTTCACCTTTCCTAGCTAAAGGTAGCATCCTGCCGATTCACGACCAATTCCAGGGGAGCTACGGAGCGAGTGGAAGCTCCTTGGGGCAGTTTCTTTGCACAGCAGCTAGTGTAACGGGGTCCTGAACCCCATCTGCGTTGCTATTGCTTCTCCCTTGGAACCAGAGCCTCAGCTGGCAGGAAGAGGGAACGTTAATCTTGCTGCCCAAACTTGAGGAGAGGAATACGGGTTGGTTTTAGCTGATTAATACAGAGTTGTTCTGTACGCTACTGGCGATTAGGGAATTCATAATTCCCATTTATACCTATTATAGTATTCCTTATCATTTTTGGCTTCACGACAGCATTCGGCTGCCCTTTGGAAATTTTAGTGAGTTTATATCAGCGCTCTTTTTTTCGGGGACCTACATAACCGGACAGTCAATCTTTTCTCAACCGAAATAATCCATCATCCCAGAGCAAGAGACTGCAATAACAGGCTGCTAAGTAATTCCGTTTGCTCTTCTGGAAAAGGAAGAAACACAGCGAGCAGCACCAGCACTGCTCTCGAACGCTGCCTGCCCGTCAAGACACGGCTCCTCTCGGGTCAGGAATAGAAAAGGGCAGGGTCTCTCCTCCTCCGTGCCATGCCGCCGGGCGAGATGCGCTCCCCTGGACAGCCACCGAGGTTAGCGTTCCTCTCCCGGCTCCGCAAGGGAAACGGGCCGGGCGGGTGAAGCTCCTCGCCTAAGGGAACGGGCTCCACTTACCCCAGGAATGGAGACACGAGCTGCACGAGCTCAGCCCGGGAGATCACCTCCTGGTTGAAAATAACCAGGCAGCGAAGGAAGTTTTCGTACGCTTCCGTGCTACGCAGAGCCTTGCGGACCTTAGAGAGGGAAGAAAAGGGGAAAACGGTGG